AGCCCGCCACCCCCCCGATGGACCCCCCCCCCCCGGATGGCAGTCTGCAGCAAGTGCAGCTGGGCTGATGGCAACGACCCCACGAGAAGCACCGGCGTGCCCAGGGGCAGCTCTGGCTCCATGTGGCCGAGTGCTGTGGTGTCCCAATTTTGGGCACTCAGGGCACTCCCAAGACAGGACTGCTTTGCTGTCCCTCATCGAGGTAGACAAGCATGTGGAGAACCCTGAGAACTGTCTGTCCGGGGTGGGGGTAGTGTCCCTTTAAGCACGGAGCTCAGTTAGCCGTAGGCAGCAGCCCCACATACTAAGTCCTAACCTGATGCCCTGCCGACACCTGGTTCCGGCCAACCTTAACTTTGGTTCAGGGTCCACTCAGTGTGGACGTGCTATTTTGAAATAGCAAAACGCTATTTCGAAATAGTTTTTGTGTATAGATGCGTTATTTCGAATCAGCTTAATTCGAATTAACTATTTCGATTTAAGTTAATTTGAAATAGCGCTGTAGTGTAGACATACCCAAAGAGTGAATGTCCCCCCAAAATAATCCTTGAAATACGTGCATGCAGGCATCTGAATGAAAATAATCCTTATTCACTTATATAATTCTGTATTTTATATCTAGGTAATTTATAATTATTTTAATTCTAGTCTTTATTTCACGATTATAAAAAATAAAAATCAAAGTAGCCAAGATTTCAGACTTTTTGCTACATGTATCTTAGAATGAACTTCTGTTTTCTCCCTTACGGTATGTCTACACTTGCTCCCTAGTTCCTGGTCGGCTGCATTTGCATCGCTAGCTTGAAGTGCACTCCGGGACACGTTAGTTCTAATCAAACTTCTTGGTTCCAACTAACGTTACTCCTCAAAAAATGTTAGTCCTCATTCGCACTTCCTGGTTCTAATCAGCTGGCGAGCAGAATAATATGTGGGCAAGACTATGCTAATGAATTGCGGGATATTTAAATCCCTGCTTCATTAGCAATTTCGGTAGGCTGCATTTGTGTCCCTTACTTGCTCCCTAGTTCAAGCATAGACACACCCATAGTTATTACAAGGAGCTAGTAGCAAAGCCTATGTAAGGTTACCGCAACACTTTTTAATATAAGACTTGTATTTTCAGTTGCTTGTATATTTCACTCCTTTAGGCTGATATTTTCCATGC